TCTTTTCAAAGAACCAGCTCTTGGTTTCATTGACCTTTTGTATTGGTTTTTTAGATTCTAATTCATTTATTTCTACTCTGATCTTTATTATTTCCTTCCTTCTACTCACTCTGGACTTTGTTGTTCTTCAAGTTCCCTTAAGTGTAAAAGTTACATGGTTTATTTGAGCTTGTCCATGTTTCTTGAGATAGGTGTATAATGCTATGAATTTCCCTCTTAGGACTGCTTTCCTTGTGTCCCACAGATTTTGAATCATTGTTTTTTCATTTTAATTTGTTTCAGGATATCTTCTGATTTTGTTTCTATGTATTAGGTAGTTCTGCTATGACTCCTAGTCTTGGCAGGGTGGCTTTATGTAGTAGGTGGTAGGACCCAGTGGTGCAGTCTCCCTGATGACCTGAGCTGGGCGCTCTAATATCCCTTGTGTGTGTTATGTGGGTCCTCCTATTGTAATTGAGTCTTGATTGCTGTTGGCCCATTTGTGTGTGGGATCGACCCTCAGGCTGGTTGACAGTGAGGCTCAACCTCCAACACAGCATACAAGCTGCTGTGTAGGTGCTGACCACATGGAGTAGAATTCGCCTCAGTAGGGATGGTGCCTATTGATATCTCCCTGTGGATATGCTGCTTGTGAAGCTTATTGGATCCTACTCTGCTATTGTCTGAAGCTGGGTGTATTGGTTCTGGGCCTATGTGGAGGGACTCTGGTGTAGGCCAATTTCAGATGCTGTCTGTGACTGGCCCTGGACAACTTGTTTGGAGCTATCAACCATCCACAACTTGTGTAACCTCTGCTGGACCTAGGTGCATGTGAAAAGGACCAAGCTATGTATCCAGAGATCTGCTTCTAGTTCATTTTCATTTAAAATAATTATTGATTGCTTGTAGTTATTGCCATTTTAGTCATTGTTTTCTGATTTTTTGTTGTTCTTCTCTGTTTCTTTCTTATTCTTTTGTGCTCTTCTTTTGTATGTTGATGACTTTCTGTGGTGTTGTATTTGGATTATTTTCTTTTTAGTTCTTGTATATCTCTTGCAGATTTTTGATTTGTGGTTATCTGTGCTTCATATATGCCAAGCTATGTTTTTAGCCATCTATTTTAACATAATGTTTGCTTACATTTGAAGACATTCTGAAATTATTACCCTTTTTACTCACTCCCTCCATGTTTATATTTTTGTAGTTATTATTCTTTTTGTGTGTATCTTTTAATTTACTGTTGTAATTACACATGATCTTCTTAGTTTTGCTTTTTACCCTCTGTACTAGCTTTATAATTGTTTGATTCACTACTTTTATTATGTGTTTGCCATTGTAAGTGAGAGGTTTTTCCTTTGGAATATTTTCGTATTCATATTTTCTATCTCTTCCTCTTCTTAACATTTATTGTAATACTAGTTTGGTGATGATGAAATCCTTTAGCTTTTTCTGGTCTGGGAAACTCTTATTTCTCTATCAATTCTAAGTCATAGCCTTGTTGGGTAGAGTAATCTTGGTTGTAGGTCCTGCTTTTCATCACATTGACTATTTTGTGCGAATCTCTTCTGGCCTGCAATGTTTTTGTTGAGAAATCAGCTGACAGTCTTATAGGAGCTCCTTTGTAGGTAACTAACTGCTTTTCTCTTTCTGCTCTTAAAATTCTCTCTTTGTCTTTAACCTTTGGTATTTTAATTATATGTTTCCTGGTGTGGGTCCCTTTGGGTTCATCTTATTTCGGACTCACTGCACTTCCTGGGCTTTTATGGTGCCCCAATGATGCAGATATTATCTTAGAGGTCCCTTAAACTGTCCTCACTTTTTAAAAATTCTTTTTTCAAATTGCTGTAATACGGATTGTTTTTTGCTTGCTTGTCTTTCAGATTGCTGGTTTGATCCTCCACTTCATCTAATCTACTGTTGATTCCATCTAATGGATTCTTAATTTCTGTTATTCTTCATTTCTGACATTTCTTTTCTACGGTTTCTATTTACTTGTATAAGTTTCACTGAGTTCATTTATTCTTTTCTTAAGTTCATTGAGCATCATAACCATTGTTTTGAACTCTGTACCTGGTAGGCTGTGAGTTTTGTTCGGTTCTTTCACTTCGGACATTTTCTTTGTCTCCTTATTTTGGCTACCTCCCTGTGTTTGTTTCTACAAATCTGGTAAATCTGCTTCATCTCCCAGTCTTGGCAGAATGTTTTTATGTAATAGGTTTCTCGTGTGGCCTAATGGTGCAAGTCCATAGTCACCTGACCTGGGTGTTCCATGGTGTCCCTTGTGTGGGTTGTGTGTGCCCCCCTGTTAGTTGACCCTTGATTGCTGTTAGCCTGTCATTGGGTGGGATTGACTCTATGGCTGAGTTGCTGTGAGGACTGGCTGTGACAAGAGCAGACAAGCTGTTGTGTGGGATTCACCTTAGTGGGATTCTGGTTCCTGTTAAGTCCCACACTTTGGGTGTGTATTTGTTGAGCTACTTGGGTGCTGCTCTAATGTGGTCTGAAATTGGCCACTGGGTATGTTGGTTCTGGGGCCTTCTTGCTATGGGGTGGGGTCTCAGAGAATGACTGGGGTGTGATGAGCTAGCAGTGTTAGCCAGGTTAATGGAGACTCAGATTTGGTACCTGCCATTCATTTGGGGGTAGGACTCAACATAGGAACAATGGTGAGTCCTCCCCCCAAATGGTGAGTGCCTGGCACAGCAGGCACTTTAGCCCCAGAGAGAGTTGCCCCTTCAGCCCTTTCCCTGAAGTAGGACAGTTCAGTTCCTCCCCATATGTCCCACATGCTTTTTGAGCTTTTGTCCCTTTGCTAGAGCTTAGCATGTGTTTTCTTGAGCAAGTGAATCTGTGCTCTGCTTGGGCCCTTTAAGAGGAAGGCAGGATGGAGTCTTAGCTGATTTTCATAGTCAGACGTTGTGGGGACTCCTCTTCCTGGCACTGGTGCTCTGGGCTGAAGAACCCAGTGTAGGGGTGGAACCCCTCACTCCTCAGGGGAGACTTCCACAACCAAGATATACCTGCTGATTCTTAACCGTCACACAGTATGGGACCAGTCAATTTCATGTCTCCACCCCTCCTTCCAGTCTCAACATGGCTCTTCTTTATATTCTTAGTTATAGGACATCTGTTCAGCTAGTCTTAAGGTGGTTCTCGAAGATGGTTGTTCTATAACTTAGACGTCATTTTGATGAGAAATGGTGAGCACAGCATGTATCTATTCTGCCATCTGGACTGGAATCAGGAAGTGCCCTGCAAGACATTATCTTCAATTTAGAGATAGCAAACTGAGAGTGTGGGAGGTTAGTAGTGCTCCTCAAGGTGGCACATTTATCATGCCAAGGCTGGATTGAAATGCAGTTGGCATTATCCCAAAGCTTCCCTTTCATGGAACATCAGTGTTTCTTAGATCTCTCACTTCAGTCACATAGACACGAGGTGCTTGCAATAGAAATAAATTAGAAGTAACCTAGATACAAGAAAAAAGTTTGGAGTGTTGAGCATTGTGAAATGTTAAAATGGTTCATCATAAGGTTTGGTTAGCACTTTCTTTTTACATATTTAGGGTTTGAAGGGCCAGTTTATTATGCTTGGGTGAATTTAAACGGCATCCTCAAAATGGAACTGGTACTTGTTAGAATAATTTTTTACCAAATATACGTGCTCTTCGCCTAGTTCCTCTTACAGCTGCGCATTCGGGCTGGCTGTGAGTAGCTCCACAGTCCAGCTGGGACGATTCCCATTCTTGACTGAAACCGGTGAGGACGCGGCCGCGTGTGGCGCGGCCTCTGAAGGGAGCGGGGCGGGCGCGTCTGGCGGCCCCCGCCGCCCGGTGGCGCGGCCT